AATTGCAAACAAGTAATTATAGCTGTGTAAACAGTGTAAATAAATAATAATTTCAAATCTAATTTGTGAAAGAGTCGTGGCTCAGATAATTTTGGTACGAATACTAAGTTAATATATTATCGTCAAGACTTTTGTAGAAGTATCTGAAGTTCCAGCGGACACTCGCATAGTAAGCTGACACTAAGATAGATGCGAGCATAAGTTGAACTTGTGGGACAGTCAGACTGAGTTATATACCGCTATACTTCTTAGCTCCTAGAGACAGAACTAAGAGATTACCTTGCATTACGGAACTCTTTAGATAAATACATTTACTCTGCTCTCTTAAATATTTACGGTAAAGTTAGAATTTCAAATACATTTAATATCAGTACTAACGTGTCGCGGACGATGATTGATGGTGGTAGTCTACTGCACTTATTGTACATAAAACTTGCCCACGACGAATAAATCATTAATGACTTATTATTTTTCAATTTGAGTGAGTTAATTGTGTCTTCTTCTAACTTTTTAAGTTACAAAAGGAAACAATTCTATCTAGTAACAGATTATAGGAACTTGGCCTTGTGTTTTTTTAGCTGATTTAACCCTGACTTCTGACCACAGGTATCTCCTATCGAAAATTATAATCAGGCTACCGATGAGTGTATGTTCATTAATCAAGTAATGATAGCCTATTGTCTGTACACCGTCTGATGTATAATTTGTATGGTATACAAATAATATAATTTCACCATGAAGACTCAGGTCACGTCGCCAACAGCGTCATTACTTGCCACAATCAAAGCGGGCAGCAAGTACATTGCTAATTGTGACTCTTCCAGCAGTAAAGAAATCCCAAACCATTTACTTTTTGTACAAATGTTTATACAATGGCAGGCAAATCTTAATTCGTGGACCACACTGAGAGATTTTCCGTGGTAGCTGTGCAAACATCAAAAAATAAAAAAGTTGAACTTTAAAATCAAATCATAAAAACAGGATGCAATACTTATACAAGAAATACAAAAAGGATGGCATCAAGGTGACACGCAGGGTCAACACGAGTCAACTATAAATAAACCATACCTAGTGTTGTTACTATACATCAATATAACAATAACTCTTCCGTTATTTACTGAATGATAGTGCTCATAGAAAGCCGATGGACAGGCAGATACCGCGTTGAAGATTTTTGAAATTAGGACAAGAATAGTTATTCATTAACCTATAAAAATAACTCTTGTTACCAGTATCATCCTGTATTATGAGTATTTATTATTTAACTATTTCTTTTATCGTTATTAAAGATAAATAAATATGAATCATGATCATTTACCTAAATACAAATAGCTGTAAAACGACCATGCAGTCCGTAGTCCCGCAGAAATCCATGCATGATTTCTGCGGGACTACGGACTGCGAGCAAGAGTAGCTCGTCGCCCGACTAGAACCAGACCCGTAAGGAGCGTCGAAATCTGCGAAATCTCAAAGAGCCATCAGACCACCACAGATGGGGCCCAGTAGGGCTGATGCTCGATACGGAGCCGCGGAAGGACTTACAGTTTACCGGGGTTCTTCGGGGTAGTCTTTAGTCAGTAAGAGTCTGACACTCCCTCTCACCTAACCCAAGGCGGGAGAAGTAATTGAATGATTTTCCCCTTTCAAAAAAAAGTGCATGGTTTTACGATAGGTCTAAGTTCAACTAACGGAAACAGGCTGATGATGAAGATGATGAATGACATTTCGTATCTGCTAGCTAGGCCACTGGTATTGTTCCAGAGCCTAACGTGTAGTTCTTCAGTGAACCATTAATTTTATCATTAATATTTATCACACAGTTCCCAGGTAACTATTTCGTTATTTACGGGCATTGCTTGAGTTTCCTTAATCGATAAATCTTTTGAGTGGTAATTATGAGTTACGTGATAACTGACCCTGTATCTCCTTCCTACTATGGAAACAGTGAATTACAGGCAAGTTGTATTGTAAAGAAATGTAAATAACGATTTACTACGTACAAAGATATATTGAGAGAAGCTCTAAGTTAGTTTCGAGTCACAGGAGGATTCTTCTTTAAGCAGCGTGTGCGGTCCGGCGACGACGCGACGTCGCGGAGCCTGCTGGGACTCGAAACTAGTAGAACTTCTCTCAGTATGTTTACGTGAGTAACGTGATTTATTTTTAGTTAATTCAGAATATCTCATAGTAGTTATAATAAAAATGTAAAGAAATGTAAGTTTCTTTAGTCTTCATACGTCGTTGACGCCGCGCAACTTTCATGTAGCATTGTAGACTGTTTGGAACAAGACTTAAGGAAACTTAAAGAGACGAGTGCTCGTAATACGATGGTACGCTTTGTGAACTATTTCCTTAACTTGCTTTGTAATATTAAGAAGTTCATCGCACAGTACTTTATAGTACTAGTCCATTTAGGCACCTTCTCCCACGCGTTGCATTTATATGAGTCGCTTTTCCATGTACTCAACCTTTCAATTTCATATGTAGCATCTAAATAACGCTCGTGTCCTCTTGTATACCGGGTGCTAACAAATATCACGCTCCGGTAACTTGTAAGGCTAGGTCGGGTTCAAACTATTATATCAGTCTTCCAGCTGTCGTTGATTCAACACATACGGTGTACTGATAACTTAGAAAAGGTTCAAAAGAAAGAAATCTATTCTTCTCTTGTGTAGCGATACAAATTATTGACACAACCATTATGGATTATAAAGAAAAGAAATATTGACCTTATTTATAATACGTATTAGGAAGTAAATATATTGTAACAATATGTTGTAATGGGGAATGCTTAGCTCATTAAATATGTATAAAGTCACAGGAATGTGTAGACCCACTGCATACACAGCCTCAATGGGACAGAACTGAAGTTACCCTAACTGCAAGTGTAAATTTTTATGCAATCTATGATATACTTTATGTCATGTGTGATAAAAGGTTTAGGATTGAAAACCCCATTTATAACTTTATACGCAAGTCGTGTTCTTCAACCCTTAAGAAAGATTAATAGTCATAATATCAATGTCACTCATTTCTCTAATTTAATTTCCAATGAGCGTCTTATCAATCCTGATTTAGGAACATTGTCTAATTGTTACATCCATCAGCGAGCAGTCACTTCACAACTTGAAGTTATTTCGAAGCTAAAGTTATTTATCAAGAGAACCTTTTTATCTGAACAATTAATTGAAAGCTTCTCTTTTATTTGTGAACGTCCTGCGGCGGAGGGGTGCATGGAGGGGGGGGGGGTGTCGGAGGGGGGGTGTGAGGTGTCTCGGCTTCCTTTAAGGCCGACAGTTACAAAATGAGTTTTTAGATACGAACACGTTCTGTCAGCGCGCGAATACTTTATGTGAGCTGTTTGTTAATGCTCTGCGTGTTGTGAGCCGCTATTATTTCACCAGATACGCCATTCCATTATACGCATAGCATGCATTATATCAACGAGAGCTGTCTACAATACTCCTACGTGTTATTACAAAATATACTTTTTAAAAGAAAATCTACCTTATCTACTAGTTTACTCAAGATGTATGAAGCAAGGCTGCTGAACTAAGTACATTTATGTTATTCAGGAAATTAAACTCGTAAGTTGTGTCGAGGTAGTGTTGTAAGAATGAGCGCGCTCTTATCTTGCATCTTATACAAAACTTTAAATTTTTCGCTTTACATTAACAACTTTGCATCGCGACACAATAGCGGAATGTTAGGCCAGCAAGCTATGAAGCATGAAATAAAACAGATGCATGCACACGAACATAATGCATGGTACATACCTACTCGTGTATATCTTGACACTAGTCTAAAATAGCAACTATGAGTAGATCAGTCGAATAGGATTCTGAATGGAGTGCATTATCTTGAAAACCAAAAAACTAAAGTAATAAAATATGTCCAATCATCACGTCCAGACAATACAGTAAAGCTCATTGCATTCAACGTGCAATGATATAAATAACGAGTATTGCGGGCGGCAGGTGTTTTAATTTATGTAATGGCGGCGCTGTTGACGTGACGATGCGTGCACTTTATTAATGCAACCGAGAGAGATGTCACCGCTCTCAACACTTACTTGAAATTATACAATAGATCATGAGTTAATCCAATATGTAGAGTATTGTAGGATGAGTGTTTGGCAAGAATGTTGCCACTTGTTGGTAAGTTGGGAGAACCATGTTTCGGCACGAATGGGCGGCTCGACTGGAGTGATACCACCAACGAGCAGAAAACTATAGTGAAACAATGCTTGCATTATGTTTCGTCGTGTCAGTGAGGTTACTAGAGGCCCACAATACCCCAATCTCCCCAATTCCCGAATCGGCAACAATCCTCAAATTCTTAATCCCCAAAAGGCCGGTAACGCACTAGCAACCCCTCGGTGTTTAAGGTGTCCATGGACAGCGCTGATGGCTACCATCAAGTGATCCGTCTGCTCGATAACTGGCTTAATCCATAAAAAAAAAAACACTTTATATTATATCAAACATTTATATTTACAAACAATTTCAATTCCAAACCGAAAGAACAATTTCGGTGCCACTCATATATTATTTCTAAAGTTGCAAGTTGCAACACACTGAGAATTCTACGTGGCGGATGCAAAACCGTGACACTCAGTCCCTAAGACCTATTTAAAGATCTCACAAAAAAAAACTCACCGCTACACGTTGCTCCATCTCCAACCGTGTAGTTGGACGTACCTACACTACATTGTTCTCGCACAATCCAAACAACAAAACTATGTAACTAGAGAATTGTATTATGAACATGATTAAAAAATGAACCTATGGAGTTTCTTGCTCGTTCTTCTCCATAGGCTTCTACACCTTGCAATTTAATTTTAATTTTTAAAAAAGTGCCTTTCTGGTCTACTTGAAATAAATGATTTTGACTTTGACTTGACTTGACATGGCCTTCTAAAACTGATCATACAAGCATGGAAATGCAGGAGTGGTGAAGTCCGCAGCAGCAGTATACTAAGTCAATTACTTTGTTGCCAGGTCGGCTGCTGGGCATGCGGCACGTGATGGCGTGCCTCATGTTCCTCGGGACCACCGTCTCCTACGCCACGCGAGTCTCCATGAGCGTCGGCATCGTCGCTATGACTTCCAACAACAGCTATGGACATCCAGTAAGTTAGAAATAATCATGTTACACTATTTGGTACATAACTGCTTACGCTCCGAAGTGGACGACAATGACACGTTTTAACTGTTATCATACATCAATTGCCAGATATATCTGTTACGAGTTCCGTGTAACTGATGTATAATATAGACAAGAATAGATCAAATAAAAAATAAGTAAAAAAGAATATCTTTACTTACGAGAACGGAAATTCTATTTTTGTTCACAATAAAGTGAGACACTAACCTGCTCTGTTGTGTACAAACATCACCCAGCTAAATTGTCACGATAACGACTCTACTTGGAGTTTATCCAGAAATAAAAACTTACAGCTTCTTCACAAAGTACTAGGAAGTCAGTAGACAATTCAAACTCGACTATTAGCGCCATCTGCACGCCGTGAGACGCAACTCTCGAGGGAATTATCTCACGAATAGTCAGCTTTAATATCGTCTAGGTAGCAACGACTTTTTTACAACTCTTTATTTTCAACGAACAGTTAAAAGCTCAGGGACGCCAGGTGAATATTTTTTTGTAGTGATCTCTGAAAAAATTCAAATAATGGAATTTCAAATGTATGTTAGTCTTCCCTGAATAGCTTCTAGTAATAGTACGGGCTGACCTCAAAGATATTTTATGGAAATTTAAAAGTTTATTTTTAAACAAGTTTTACACTTCTCAATCTGTTGGTAATTAATATTTACTTATATGTACCAAGATCAAAAACGTGTCCTTCAGAGTAACTAAAGTCGCCACGAGTGACAGCCCTGTACTAGGATATCATTAAACAGGAAAAAATCCCGCAGACTTTAGTGGTATTGTCGCAAAAAGTACCATTCGAAGCGAGCGGCATCGTTCCGGGCACGTCTCGGCTAACGACACACGTGCAACTTGTCGCTGGAACCCAGTGTGTCTTCAACTTAATAGTTTAATTGTTTGTTTTAAATCACTTACTGAGGCAGTTTGCGAAACTAAATTATTTCGAAAATGGTAAAGATGCGAAATCCATAGCAATAGAAATCTGTTAAATAGTTTGGTGTTGAAATCACGTCTCCAAAAATCTCTTTTTCACCTCCAGCGTACATAGTGGCGGCGGCTGGCTGTGACGGCCGTGTGTTGGACATAAATCGATGTTATTGCTGCTTCCATCGCATAATATTACAATAATACGCGTCAATAGCAGCCATCATTCAAACTTTACTACCCTTTGTATGATAAGTGGAGCAGTGCTGACGGTGGCCTCCTACCTGTACTAGTACAAAGCATAAATATTACGAATTGGTTTAGTTTTAAATTTATCTGAAATGCAATTGCTGCTAAGTGTTATTTGGCTTCGAAAATACTCAATGCAAGTGTATCCAGTGTATGGCAATAAGCTAACCCCAATAATAACCTTTCCAAGAACCAATTGAACGTGTATGGTATGTGTGTTTAGGTGTTCACCCACTGGACGCGGAGCATACAGGACACGATCCTGTCGTCGTTCTTCTGGGGCTACATCGTGCTGCAGATCCCGGCGGGGTACATCGCCGGCCGCTTCGGGGGCAAGTACCTCATGCTCATCTCCATGGCAACCACTGGCGTCGTGAACTTGCTGCTACCCATTGCCGCTGTCAAGGTAACCTACTACTCTCTTTTTTAAATTTATATACTACTAAACTCTGAGTGTATAAAATTTTATCTTCTACATCAGACGGGAGGTTATGGAAACTATTTGTGTTCTTTATAAAAACATAAATTAATGTGCTTACAATTGGAATTGTGGTAATTTCTTTCCCATGGAACAGAAGGTAAAGAACAATGTCCATTGTTACAATAAACGACTGTCTTTAAAGAATAAGTTGGGAATTATAACGAAGCTCCAGGCTGGTGGGGGTGAAGACGCTGCGAGGAACGTTTGGCTGCGAGCCAGCTGTGCGAGGACTCCTTATGTCTCATTGTGACACTTGACTCTATTAACTTCTGACATTTTATTGAATTTCCATCATTTGTTCGCTGAACGTACATAAGGCCACATGTCAAATTGGTGGGATGTAGGGATTTAGTTACTTTACCGAACAAGCACGTGTGCTATGAACATTAGTTTATTAAATTCAAGGAATTTAATTTGTAAAGTGGTATCTTGTAAAGCTGTGTGTTTCTGTTACATTAGTCCTTGTTGTGAATATAATTAGGTTAAAAGAAGATACTGAACGTGTAGATAAACAGTTGTACGAATACATGGCAAGATAAGCAGAATAACGCAATGTATAAACAGACAGAATACGGGAATGCCTGATGATGATTAATTAAAAGCCAAACAAACAATACGTATGCATTAATTTCGTCCAATATCCGAGCACACATTCGTGTTGATTGTAAAAAGCAGTGGAATCAGTGTCGGCCGTGTTTACACTGTGTAAGGCCGCGCGCTGTGATTGTGGTTCGTACACGGAAACGATTCGTAAACATCAACTCAATAAAAAGCACACTCTGAGACTTGATACCAACTCACGTAACTATTTATGAAATTCAGTTGATGAATTCATCAACGTTTCTTCATTCAATCATTTTAGGAAATATGTATATCGTTTCACGTCATTATGTATAAGCACCACGACCAAGGCTCATCAACGGCCTGTCTAAGCAAAGGTTCTAGACACAAGGCTACAATTGACGTTGTTGATGTACTGACATCATGAGAGACATTCCATGAAGTGTACTATTGAGTGCATGAGTTCTTTTTTTTGAGAGGGAAAATCATCTAATGACTTCTCGTTTTTCTTTAGTTAAAGTACCAAATATTTAATATCATTAATTTTAAATGGCGTTTAATTGACCAAATTCAAGTGTCGTGATGGCTCGAAGGTTAAGACGCCTGCTTCTCATGCATGAGGGAGCGGGTTCGAAACCTACCAACGGCAAGTACCAATCGTCAAAACGTCCACCCGCACTGAGCAAGCGTGGTGATTAATGCTTAAACCCTCAGTAGTGGGCATTCATAGGCTGTTGATGTATGTGTGCACCAAATGACACAAATTATAAGCATTTTTTTTTAATATTAAAGCTTAAAAAATTCCAAAAGAAGTAAATAAAAAAAATATATTCACTGAAGAAAATAAAGGAAACAACAGAAACCTGACAATAAATCCCTCAATTAACTTACGCGCCTGTTCGTGCTTTATATTGATGGTAGCCATTAGAGGCGCGCCGAGGGGCACGACCCCATCCCTTGCATCATGAGCGACTGCCTTGCAAGGCCTTCATCTACTGAGCAACAGGACAACCGAGCTATTTGTCTATGTTAGTGATAGCATAAGATATTGTATATGTATATTAAAGGTATTTATCGTCTACCCTATTAGGGTAGACGACTAATTTTTATTTTAATGTCCGTCTGATAGATTATTTAAAAACATTAGACACGTATTTTTTATTTTCTCACAAAAACGAATAGTTTCGAAGATATATTGATTTGAAATGTCGCGTGACGTCACTTCTCAGTACATTTTATACTAAGAAATGACGTTTTAACCCCCACTCCTAAACTTTGATTCGTTTTATCTAAGTATTGTTTTATTATACGACAAAATAAAAAAATACGTGTCTAATATTTTTTCATTAGCTAACTTACGGACTAATTATATTTTTAATTTTCATACCCTGTCATCATCCCCATTGCTTAAAGTAAGACACGAAAGATCGTTGCCAAATATCCTTACTAATATTATAAATCTGAAAGTGAGTTTGTTTGTTTGTTTGTTTGTTCCACCTTCACGCCGTAACTACTAAACCGATTGCTTTAAAATTTTGCAGACGTAAAGTTAGAAGTCCAGATTAAATAATAGGGTACTTTTTATCCCGGAAAAATGTGATATTCCCGAGGGAAAACAAAAATATTAGTATAGATGGCGCTGTGTGTATTCCTGTAGATGGCGCTTTGTGCCATCTAAAACAATTCAACGAATTATCTACTAATTGGAAATTTCACGCTTTAATCTATAGCGCTTATTTGGTGTTAATCTACACTTATTCAGTGCGCTTTTCGACTCATTTATTTGCTATTTTTTATGTAAAAATACTTAAAAAACACAACGTGGTAACGTTGTGTAGTAGTTACGCTACTTGGCGATAGATGGCGCTGAGTGTTTATAAAACGGGGTAGCGTTGTGCTTTTAAAGTACTTTTATCGCTTTTAAATTTTGGTTCCTACCATTTTACATTGAATTGTGTATTTTATAGATTTTAGGTTGTTAAAGGTACATGAAATTGGTGTCTATGTAGTAGTTACGCTATTTTTTAAGTATTTTTCGCTTTTAAATTTTGGTTCTAACCATTTTACATTAAATTGCGTATTTTATAGATTTTAGGTTGTTAAAGGTACACAAAATTGGTGACTATGTAGTAGTTACGCTACTTGGCGATAGATGGCGCTGAGTGTTTATTATTATATATTCAACGGGGTAACGTTGTTTTTTAAGTATTTTTATCGGTTTTAAATTTTGATTCCTACCATTTTACATTGAATTGGGTATTTTATAGATTTTAGGTTGTTAAAGGTACACGAAATTGGTGTCTATGTGGTAGTTACGCTACTTGGCGATAGATGGCGCTGAGTGTTTATAAAACGGAATAGCGTTGTGTTTTTTAAGTATTCTTCGCTTTTAAATTTTGGTTCCAACCATTTTACATTAAGTTGCGTATTTTATAGATTTTAGATTGTTAAAGGTACACGAAACCATAGTGGCAACAATACTCAACAATTAGCAAATATATTGTGTGCTGTTGTTTCAACGCTCGATAGATGGCGTTAGGATCGAGTTAGATGGCGCTATGGTTTTGTTACCGGCGAAAGTATAGGTTCCGAGCTTCCGTATCAACTATATATTAGGGTACGCATCTAGCGCTTATATTGATTATTATTTGTTCGCATTGGAGGTTTGATTAGTGAAGTGTTATTTTTTCTAGGTAGATATTTAAAGTACTATAGTAATTTTGTTTTCGTCGTTCTAAGACGCTTTGTTCATTGTTTACGTTGATTGATACAGTAGCTATATTAGTTAGGTTAGATTAGTGAAGTGGTTTATTTCTAAGTAGATGTCTAAAGTAGTTAGGTTTTCGATAATAAAACGTATAATATAGTTTACCACTCAGTTTTGGTTTAGCATTGCAAATATAACCCTTATAGGAAATAGAAAGTCTTTTAAATTAAAATGGGAGGAGGTATTTGTGGTAATGCGAAAATAACTTCTGTTCTTTCACGCGGCTGAATCGATTTTGGTATAAAGGTAGTTGAAGGGATGGGTAGTCACATAGGCTACGTTTTATCTTTTTGTGACGCGAGCGAAGCCGCGGGTAAAAGCTAGTCACTAAATAAATGTAGGTTTAGAGCGTGAAACAAGTGGACAGATCACTTAGTGCTAGCGATCAAGGCCTGGACACCCACAACGCCAGAGGAGTCATAATCTTTCCTTGCGAAAAATGTCAACAAATCTGTCGATCTATAACTTACATTGGTTTGTGTACAGGGTGACTACATGGCGGTGTGCGCATGCCGCATCGTGATGGGTCTGGTGCAGGGGCTGCTGTACCCCAGCCTGCACGGCGTGCTCGGACACTGGGTGCCCGTCACCGAGCGCAGCCGACTCGGCACCTTCGTATATGCTGGTAAAAAATATTTTTTTAATACATTGCCTACATTGCTAAATATAACAATTTGCATAATCTGCAATATAGCTCTTGTTCATAATACGAGAATATAAATCTCCCCGAAGAGAGGTTAGGTTAACCAAGACCAATAACTTCAAGTCTCGTCCTTTCAGCGCATTGTAACGCTCACAGATAAACATTAAATAGGGATTTGTAATTAACATCCATTGTTCAAATTAAATTAATAATTTGATTTATTTATTTATTTAGTCTTTTATGTACACAATTTGATTTCAATTTCAAATTATTGCAATTATTGCAATTAACAATAATTTCCAGTAATGATCGCAATCTAATGTACGTAAATTTCGCTAGAGCTCGCTACCGGCCAGCAGTTATTCAGTAACTGAATTTGTAAACAACAGCAATTTCATTCCTCGGGGTAACGCCGCGAGTCTCCCACAAATCAATTTGCATCACTTCCTTTTAAAAATCGTTTGCAATTTCAACGTTAGTGTTAGAGATTGTGCTCTGAATACATTAGCAGAGATAGTTTGTAAAACTATTGATTTATTAACCACAATTAGTTAAGAGATTACCTACTTTAACAAAGTCAAAGCGTATTTATTCAGCATAGAAATTTCTGTGGTACACTAAAACTGAGAACAACTTTCTCCAGGTGCACAGCTGGGTACAATCGTGGAGTTGCTAACATCAGGCGTGCTGGCCGCCAGTCCGTGGGGCTGGCCGTCCGTGTTCTACGTGGCGGGCATCTGCTGTATCGTGTGGTCCGTGCTGTGGGTCATACTCGGCGACTCCACGCCCGGCTCCAGCCGCTGGATCTCCAAAGAAGAGAGGAACTATATCGAGTACAATGCAGGCTCCAACGACATTGGACATGAGGTAAAAAATCTTTCTAAATAAATCCTCGTTTCTCTCTTGTCTTCTACTCTAAAAGTCACTAATGTATAATTGTTTAACAGAAAATTCCAACGCCTTGGAAAGGTATCCTGACGTGTCTTCCATTCTGGGCGATCTTGCTGGCTCACTGTGGTCAGAACTTAGGATTTTGGACGCTCCTCACCGAATTACCATCATATATGAAGAATGTTCTAAATGTGGACATTAAAGAGGTACGCCACCGTATTCCATTATACTAGAATAAATAGTTTTAGTATAATATAGCAATGTTTTTTTTTTTGATAATTTTAGTAGTCCACTCTCATTCACCGCCTACATTTGATTCTAGAACGGACAGTTATCAGCTCTGCCGTACGTCGCTATGTATATCCTCAGCTTCTTCTTCAGCTGGCTGGCAGACTTCCTGGTGAACAGAAAGATCATCAAACTAGTCACCTCTCGCAAAATATTCAACACTATCGGTAACTATCTTGTTTTAAGTGATAACTGAATGGGCACGAGTTTTGAGTCCGATTCGGACTTAATCTTGGACAATAATCTTGCCTCTTGCATAAAGAGCCTGACATTATAAACAAAAGAAAGTTCCCTGGTATATAACTATGTAATTGTAATATTCCAGCTCAATGGGGTCCTGCAGTGGCGCTGCTGGGTCTATCGTACCTGCCGGCCGGGAACCTGTCGCTTGCTGTCATCATCCTCACCGTTACCTGTGGTCTCAATGGCGCCCACTACGTCGGATTCATGGTACATTTTAGGAGTAGTATTTTCAAATCCTCATGAATTGGTAAAATGGTGACGTACGAGATTACAATAATGATTATTTTGATTTCAGTTATCCCACATTGACTTGTCTCCCAACCACGCGAGTACTATGATGGGCTTCACCAACGGTATCGGAGCGATCTTCTCTATCTTGGCTCCTCTCAGCGTCTCCTTCGTTGTTGAAGACGAGGTCCGTCCCTAGTACATCTCAATTGTTTTCTTTGCCAACTTAAGTTAGATTTGTTTATGCGCCTTAATCATTGTTTTTATTGCAGACAAGTGCAGCTGACTGGCGGAAAGTGTTCTTCATATCGGTAGCATTCTACTTCCTGGCCAACTTGTTCTACTTGCTGTTCATCTCTGCTGACATACAGCCGTGGAATGAGCCCAAACCTAAAGCCCTCGGTAAGTAGTCTTTAATTACTTATTTATTACGTTCATCATGATTTTGTCAACATTATACGCACTAAATATGGAATGTGAATCATCGTAATGTTAAATGAATCATTTTTAATTGTTTTACAGAAGATGGAGTGAAGAAATCAGATGAAAAGAACGCCGACGAGAAGTCAAAGAACATGGGCGAGCACAAGTTCTGAGGACGCGAGGAGTGGACTGCTAGTCATATTTAATAGAGAAACAACATTTGTGATGTGTGCTAGTGACCGTGTGGCACAGCTCGGCACTGCACACAGGACACAACAATATGTTACATACTTCGACTGTGATACATGTGTACACAAAGGTGCTGATTAAGTACCTACTTAAGCTTATGGTGCACTGACAGGTCGTCAAGTGATACGGCGCATAAATCAATACAATATTTTTTATAAAATGTTCACGTGTCAATAACGTCATTATTTATAAGTTTCGAAAAATAATAACGTTTTTATCAACATCATTAATGTTAGTGAAAATATTTGCTCAATATGATAAAAGTTTCCAGTGGCGTATCGTACCTAATTAAAACTTAATTCTGGAACTCGCGGGCTCACGTGCCCTCTTCAAATTATGACAAATTGTGTTCGGAACTGCCTCAAGTTTGTCACATTCCCTTTTGACAAATCCAATTATACAGCAGTTTGTCATATTTTATGAGTACACTAGTTTAATTAGAAATTATTGAGAAATTTCCTGAATAACTCGCTTCCCGTAATTTATGTCAAGTCATCGGGACGTTTGCTTTCAAGTACATGCCTGCTCTCGAGTTATTGACCATGGACCACGCTAGCCACCGAGTCGAGCTGTCCATTAAGATAATTTTCATGAAAGAAACAAAATTATTATGTCACCTCTGACGATGTGTTCTGTATGTGTGATACAATATTGTTCAGTAAAATAAATAACTCTAAGAACAACTACTTACATATTTAAAAATGAATGCTATAAAATAGCGGTAAATGTTAATAAAATTGAATGCAACGGAAACCAAAGAGGATTCTGTAAACCACGCGACCAGTGCCTTCTATGTGTGTAATAATTTATTTGTAAATATTTATTACTTAATTAAGGTTCGTTAAATACATTTATTTGTAATGAAATGTTGTCTTATTGAACCTGCCCTGTTTTTTTTTTAAATATCATCAACAACAGTGAACAAAATCTCTAAACATATTAGAAACTAAGGAATAAATAAGTGATAGTTAGTAGATTTTCTTAGTTCATTAAAATAATCGGTGTTTACTTCATGCATATGAATATACATACGATAGCCATACTACCTGCATTTTTTACAATTTTTGTCTGTCTGTCTGTTTGTACTGGCTAATCTCTGGAAAGACTGGACCGATTTTGGTAGGACTTTTATGGGCAGGTAGCTGCCGATGTAGCATGGAGTTACATAAGCCACTTTTATTTTGGAAAATAAAAACAAAAATGAGTTATTTCCGTATTATACGCGGACAAAGTCGCAGGCAACAGTAAATGTCATAAAAATAGACATAGAACAAAGCATTGTTTAAAATATCTGTAATTCCATTTTTAAACTGGAATTTTAATCCGTTATCATTACATTCGCAGATTCGCAGGTAACGTGCAATATTGTGCTAGTTGGCAACACACAGAGTAATGAAACCTTAGAATGTTGACCCTTTGCGGCTACGAAATATTGTCAACTTTGTGTCTATACCTTGCTTGCTCCACATTTAAACATCAAAGGAATATCTGTTCATAGAGACATCGTTAGCTAAGGACAAATAAACAGCAGCACAGAGTTGCTTATTAACAATTTTACTTCTCATATTTGAAGCAGTAAACCTAAACGTGGTGTGAACAACCTGGTAGTGTCATATTTACAAACATTCGATGGTTGGTTGGTCATGGAATGGTTTTCAGTTAACGCAGAGAAGCTAAGTATGTAGTATGTACCCATTTTTTTATGAGGGGAAAATCATCGAATGACTTCTCCCACCTAGGTGAGGCGGGAGGGAGTGTCACGCTCTTACTGACTAATAACTACCCCGTTCCTACTCCTGCACTTCGAGCCGGAGCCCCGGTAACCAGTTAAGTTCTCCGCGGCTCCGTATCGGCATCAGCCGTACTGGGCCCCATCAGTGGTGGTCTGGTGGCTCTTTGAAGCGCGCGCGGAATGCGACGCACCGCACGGTCGGGTCTAGTTCTGGTCAGGCAGCGAGCCACCCATGCTCGCTCTTAGTAAATCACGTTAAATGGCGAACGTCCCGATCACCAGCTAATATATTGAATGAATTCTGTTCGATTAATAACATGGTTAATGGCACGTGTACTCCATGTACTTCTAGCTCGGACTGATTTTTGGCTTTTGGCTGCTAAGACTGAGGTGATTGCATGAAATGCCCTTGTAATACTTCGAAAATCTTGTAACATTCCTGAAAGCGTTAAATCTTTTTCTTGCTTTTCCACTCTAGCCTACATCATGCCACGGAGGTATGGTATTTCTAAATCATTATACTTAATCATTACCAAAGATGTAAAGAATTATTCTGATATAATAATTTGTTGGTAAAATAATTAAGATAAGGAATCTTAAGTAATTCTTAAGATTCCTTTACAAATCCTCTCTAGGCTACTATCCATACATGTACCCAACAAAATACTTGTGTGGATGTCTGGGATACAATATGCTGGAGACCAGAAGAGCGTTTGGACAACTGTACATTATGCTTAAAATCTGCAGAGGTATCATAGATGCTCCTGACCTTCATAATGAACTGATGCGATTACATGCTCCGACTAACTACCTCCGTGCTCGTCGGCACCGCCCACTGTCTGTGCCCGCATGCCGCACAGTGGCCCGTGCATCGTCCCCTATTCCCCGCGTCTTGTCCGCGCTCAATGGCCTCTTGGAAACCTACCCCGACTGTGAGCTATTTATTAATGACTTTAAAACTGTTCAGCGTTTATGTTTAAGTTTTTGTGAAAATGTTTAATACTGTTACCTCTATTACTGTTTATTGTTTTTTAATTTATATTTTATTATTGTGATGTGCTTTATTTTTTCTTTTATATCTTTATTTTGTCATGTGATTTGTAACTACATTCGTATGTAGCTACAAATCACATGTTTGTTTTGATATCTGTATATGTTAATGTAACTGGTGTAAACCGTATTAACATAAAATAAATAAATAAAATAAATAAATAAATTGGTTCAATGGTTACAAAATTCAAGTTGCCAATATGATTCCTACTTTGAGCTTCCAATTCTCCTAACTTGACCTAAGTAACGAAAAATATGAGTGTAAGAGACAGGTTTGACTCAGATAGTAGCAGCCAGCTGTGTGTACGCGCACGACTGCTCATATTAACTCGATGTGGGACCGCGCTCTGTTGGTATACTTGGCACAGAGGTCACGTCCTGTGCTAAGAGTACCAACAAAAGTTTACATATAACTATCACGAAGTGAATATAAGTGGCTACGTCATTGTCATTTCTCAACATCGACATACTCGAAAACTTTTGAGCGCGTTGAAAATTCTTTGTTGGAAAATGTTCAATCGTGTCTGATATCTAATGAGCGAAATCTATCCAGCTTCCTTAATCACTTATAGGTTTACTCGAAAACTATCGGATGTGCTCGATTCGTTGAGGTCCTGCTTAAAAGTTATCAAGCGTCCCCAATCACTTTCAGGTGTCCTTCATCACTTTTGAGCGTCCTCGATCGCTTTCGGACTTGCTTGAAAACTAGCAAGCGTCCGCTGTATAGCGATACCCAATCTACATGTATATTCCCAAATTGTTATCAGATCGTCTTCCAACGAAGTAGCCAAGCAGCAAGGTACTGACGAGTATAGCGGCGGCATGGACGAGCGGATCCATTTCGAGAAGTTATCGTAATCGAAGCAATTACCATGATTTGTGCGAGCTATCGGGAAAGTTCGCCGCCATCTTAATTGTAATGGCAAGCAGATATCGACAGAGTGCTTCTATGATGTACTCGTTTAATAAGAATTAAGTACCTTGTATATAGGTATCATGGTCAGTGGACATTGAGCAGCTAATCGCGTACAGCCCACAATACCAACTGTTCCACAATGGCCACATATCATTCACGCGCGTTTGTCACCAATGGCTCGGCTGGCCACAGAACCCATTATGACGCGGCCGACATATCGTTTAGAAGTAACATGTCTGTCGGTGACACCTGCTCCGGTAGATTTATGCTACGAGTTCTGATCGCCCGTACTATACCTTCTCATTAAACATACATACATTACAATTTGTTCACTTAATATTAACACTAAACCTTCTATTTATAAATTTAAAAAAACCAAATCTACAAACACGAGTAGAACTCGAATAGGATGGAAATAAGACCTTCAAACCTCCAAGAAAAGAGCGAATTCCTTTTTTAAAAGGCCGGCAACGCACCTGTGACTCCTGTGGTGTGTGTCCATGGGCGGCGCTGATTGTTTACCATCAGATGATTCGTCCACTCGTTGGCCTGTTGTTCCTTAAAAAAATAATGTACCTATAGTATTACTCTATAAAAAAATATTTCGTCTTTGTTAAATTATGAAATTGAAAACACGACAACAATGTGGCAGTATTATATCAAATGAACTATACAAGTGTACACGTAGCTCAATATTAAGATACATAATTAAATATATTATAGGTACATTCCATAAATTGTGCGCCAATAAAAATTCAATGAATAAATTGTCAATTCGTCGCTGGCCCAATTATGGATGTCCTCGGGGAGCAACTAATTACGCAATGTAATCTACAAATTCACTTTACTAAATTAATTTTCAATGTTTTGAAACATGGGGATACATTTATGAAACCTTCTATTTACTTACTTTCCTGAGATTGTACAATTTTTATGAGTTTGTCTACTGCTAATAAATAATTATTAAAAGTTTAATGGTATCTTGTTTCGATCCCTTTGACTGGATTTTTGTGTTACATTGATGTCACGCAATCAAACCAACCAAACTATGTAACTAGAGAATTGTATTGTGGACCTAACTAAAAAGTGTAACCTATGGAGTTTCTTGCTCGTTCTTCTCTTTTGTAATCAATCAAATAGTTAGCTTCACTTTAAAATTTTGTTGTTAACGTTCAAAAGTGCCTTCCTGGTCTAATTGAAATATATATGTATCTGAATCTGTGTTT